CACACACATACATGATGGATGGACCTGGGGAAAGAGAGTGTCCTCCTGGAGCGTCAGAGTTTTCATCTTTAAAAATAGTCCTACCTCCTCATGATCTCACCACAGAAACTTTTGGAGCTATATGGTAGGGAATGTGACAGTTCTTTAAAAGGAAGTATGCGAAATCCACACAAGGCAGTAACATTGTAATATCGCTGTTTATAACTGTGGCTCCAGGGACCCAGCCATGAGGCTACCATCTTGCTCCATCTCCCTGGGTCATTGGTCTGGGAGCGGAAGAATGCAAGGCACTGGAGAGGAAAGGGTCCACACTGCCCAGGAGCCTGGCGGGATCACTCAGAAACACACTCAACCTTGGGAGGAACACACAGCGAAAAACCCCACCACTCCCATTGCCCTTTCCTTTCTCTAAGCATTTCCAACAGACAGCAACATGTACACAATTCTAAGGCTTCATCAGGTAGAAGGGGGTTCTGGTGCGGCCCTCAGCTAGCTCTCCACAGTGTGCATGAACAGCAAGGTCCCCCAACAAAGGGCACCAGGCATTCATTCCCTTATAGATTCTGTTTTCAGGTTACGTGCAATGACAGGACAGTTGCTAATCACCACCAAGACGGGGCCGTCCCGGAAGCATTCTGAGAAAGACACGCTGGTTCTGTGAGCTCTGCAGCATCCTTAGTCTGTCCTGCCTGGAGGATCAATGTGGCTGGAGGACGAGAAAGACAAAAGAGGAAAGACGGCTGAACTAGTCATTCCCGCCGTGGTCAAGTTGTCCTTCCTTGGAGGGAGGAGGAAGATGGGAGGGAGCTAAGAGGCTGCAAGACAACGAGGAGACGCTGCAAAGAGCTTCAGGGGGGCCACGAAGAATTATCTCAAGCAGTATTAGCCGCTCCATGGCATGCTACTGTCCCCGCTGGGCGTTCCCTGCACTCTGTACCCCTCATGCCCTACCACCATCAGAACAGGAGGAAGGGTGCATTTTCTGTCTCTCTCTTTCTACTACCCACCTTCCCCTCTCCCCTTCTTTTTTTTTTTTTTTTTTTTTTTTTGCTGCTGGGGCTGCAGTCTGCCATGTGACCCCTGGTGGCTCTGCAGGCAGGAGGGTGAGGAGAGTGACCCTCATATGAAGCCACAACCCCAATGAAAGAGGCTATTCTGAATCTGGGAGTCACACGGTTGTTGAGTATCAGTCCCTGAGATGTGGCACTGTGGCGTGTCACCTCATCACCACCATCAATGACATCCTATGGTAACGTATGTGTGCCACTGTGTGCCAGGGACATAAACAGGCACATTCAATATCCCTCCTGCTTGGACCCTTCCCCCACCCTCCCCTCCTCCCACTGGTCTCCCTGTTGCTCTCAGCTTCCCTGTAAAGAGGTCTTTTTCACACTGGGTTGGATCACAGCATGCTTTGCTCAAAACCCTGCCTGGCTCCCAGGTCCCTCAGAGGGAAGGCCCAAGGCCTCCGGGCCTGACCTGGTCTGGTGGTCACCACCCCCTCAGCGCTCAGCGCTCACTGAGCTTGATTCTCAAGCACACTATATACTCGTGCCTGCTTTAGGCCTTGATGTACCTGCTCCCTCTATTCCAAAGGCTCCAAAACACCCTCCTGCAAGTCTGTGCTCAAATGTCACCTTCTCCATTCAGCCCTGCAACCTGCCCTCCACCTCTTTCCCTGCGTTGCACACTGGAGCTGCCTTTCCTGACTCGTTTTATTTTTTGTTTTTCGTTTTGTTTTGTTTTTTTCCATAACACTATCACCTCCTTACATACTAGATAATTTACATACTTACTATTTTTTACTGTTTAGCCTGCCCCACCTTGACAGCCAGTGTGGCTGCCGGACAGGAAAGACAAAAGAACAATGATGGCTGACCCAGTGCTTCCCCTCTTTCCTGGCCCCATGATATGGTTTGGCTCTGTCCCTACCCAAATGTCATCTTGAATTGTAGCTCCTATCATTCCCAGTGTTGTGGGAGAGACCTGGTGGGAGATAATTGAATCATGGGGACAGTTTCCCGTATCCTGTTCTCATGGTAGTGAATAAGCCTCACGAGATCTGATGGTTTTATAAGGGGAAATCCCTTTTGCTTGGTTCTCATTCTCTATTGCCTGCCACCACGTAAGATGTGCCTTTTGCCTTCTGCCATGATCGTGAGGCCTCCCCAGCCGTGTGGAAACGTGAGTCCATTAAACCTCTTTTTCTGTATAAATTACCCATTCTCAGGTATGTCTGTATCAGCAGCATGGAAATGGACTCATATACCCCATTAGAAGTCAAGCTCCATGCCAGCAGGACAGAGCCTGTTTTGTTCAGTGCCTGTTCTCTGCCTAGAGCAGTCCCAGCAAACAGTGAGTGTCCTGTAAATATCTATTAGGTGAGTGAATCAATGAACTGATGAACAAGTGAAGGGTCAAATTACTGCCACTCATGGGGAGGGGGCTAGGCATCTTATGGAATGAGCTGGTCTTCAGGATGGGGTTCCCTAGGGAGTGGGGGAGAAGGCTGGCAAAGGCAGAAGGTGCTGCTTCCAGAAAGGCAGGCCCGCAGTTGGCCTGGAAATCCCCTTGGCATCACTCATCAACCCCCACCCCAATACACATCCAAACCCAAACAGTAGCTGAAGAGTAACTTCAACCATAGACTCTCTTTCCAGGTCCACGCTCCCACCGGTGAGTGCATGCCGTCATCTGGGCCCCTACTGCATGCTCCTTGGATCCCAGGATGACCAGTAAAGAAAGGATGGTGGGGGGTGAAAGAGATCCCCTCCCACCCTCATCCCACTCTCAATGCACTAGCTGGGAAGGCAAAGCCAGCACTGCAGGCGAAGCTCTGAAGGTGAGATGGTGGGCAGGTAAAACAGCTGCCAGTCCCATGGTCCCATGGCTGTGGGGTTTTAAGCAAGTGAGGTACACAGATGGTGACACAAGGAGGGGGTGGGCTGAGCACAGTGGCAGGGAGCAGTCAAGTCCAGTCTTGGGGTGGGATACAGACCAGGTGAGCTGGGCTGAAAGGATCCAAATGTGAGTGGGAAGTGACGGGAAGTGAAGTGGAGTGTCCAGTGAGATTTGGTTGCTAGGACAATAAACAGAGAGCCACAATGGGTTTTTTCTAATAAGAAAATGCCATGTCCAATGCTGGATTTCAGAAACAGGCTTAGGGAAGAGACCAATAGGATTACTTTGGGGAGGAAAGACTTGGAGTCCAAAGGCTGGGGTCCCTTGTGGTTATCCCAGCTTGCTCTATGAAAGCCAACACCAGAGGGGTGGCTGGGAGAAGGGAGGGGAAGGATCAAATGGAAAATTGCTGTGGAGTCATTGTCAGGACTTAGTATTCTAGTGGGTCGGGGAGTTAAAACCAATGTCCACCTTCCTTCTACTTGAGCTGCGTGGAATAAGATAAAGATAAATAAGGAAGGGAACTAATAGGCATCCACTATGACCTAGACTTTGGATTTGGTTACTTCATTCAATTCTCAACCTCCCCTGAGGACAGGGTATGAGCATCAGCATCTTACACATGAGGAAATTGAGGATTTGTAATTTACCCAAGATCATAGCCAGAGCTAGGGAGACTGTAAAACACAGAAAAAAAAAAAACACTGACATTCATTGTAAATGCATAATACATCCCAGGCACTGAACTATGTATTCTCCATGTTTCACTTCAAAACATGGAAGAGATTATTTTTATTATCTCCATTTTATAAATGTGGAAAGCATAGTTCAGAAAAGTGAAGGTCACCAGCTCCAGGTCACAAAGCAAAGACGCAGTGGAAATGGGATTTGAACCCAGGGCATCCGGGTCTACACTCTACCGCTATACTAGACTGATAGTGACAAATTTGCAATATAAGCTGTCTAGTTCCAAAAATGTGTTTGCATTGTACAGCAACTCAAGCAGTATTAGCTGCTCCATGGCGTAATGTCCCCATTGGGTGTTCCCTGCACTCTGTACCCCTCATGCCCTGACACCATCAGAACAGAAGGAAGGGTGCATTTACTCTCCTCCTACCCATTTTCCCCACTCCCTTTCATTCCCTTTGTTGTTGTTGTTGTTGTTGTTGCTACTGCTGCTGCTGCTGCTGGGCCTGCAATCTGCCAGTATGACCCCTGGTGGCTCTGTAGGCAGCAGGGACAACCCTCTCCCAGGCTTCATACTACTGGAGATGATTTGCTTCCAATCAAATCTGACCATGTTCTGAGCTTCCAGCTTAGTACTTACGACTGAGACAACCAGCGCTGTAACCGCTATGGATGGTGGAATCTAGACAACCTTGGGCAAACCCAGCCCTTGCAGTAGGAGAGTGGCCCCTTGTTCCACATCCTGTTTTATTGGGAGCAGACTTCAGTTGGCAGCATGCCAGAAAGCCCTGATATCCCATTTAACCCCATGGACAGTCTCTGTGTTTCTGAAGGCCAGCAGGTGCAATCCACCTGTTTATCGCCTGGACCCGCAAGCTTTGAGTCACCTGCCTGATGTTCTCCCTGCAAACTGCAAGACCTCTGTGCCCTGCAGTGGACTCAGTGTGCTCAGGGCAGGTAGCAGGAGCTGTTGCATGGTGCCCCGGGGAGCTGGGAAAATTCACGGTCACTCGAAACAGCAATAGATCCCTGCAACAGTCCAGGCCTGGCTTCCTCACTCGTTAACTGTGTGACCTTGGGCAAGTGACTGAACTTCAGTCTCCCCATCTGTAGGTTGGGCATAACAGGACCTGACGGCTAGAGTTGTGAGAGGTGAAAATGAGTCGATTTAAGCAAAAGCCAGGAACACACAGCCTGGCCTGAATTAATTGTGATGACTGTTTGTATTTAATAGCCCGTGTCTCTGGGGCTCTCCGATGGCTAACTGCAAAGCTCCTGCCTGCCAACTGCTGCTCTGAGCTGGGGGCTTTAGGGGTGTCTGGGCAAAGAGTTGCACTGAAGAAGGAGCAAAACCTCGAAGCAAGAAGAGCCACAGGGAGGCAGCTGTACTATGACTGCCAAGTGCAACTCACCTCTTTCTTGTCCTTTCCTGGTACAAAGCACCCACCGAGTCAGCCAGAAACCTCCGATTCCGCCTAGAAAAATAAGAGAAGAGTTACACCAGGAAACAAGATAACGAAACTCATCTTGAAGCTTAAATGTGGACGGAGTGGTTCCTCAGTACCAGACAGCTCCCCACAAGCACACAGGAGTTTAATAGCTGTTTATTCTTCCATATAGACTAAAACTACATTCATCAGAAAAAGGGGAGTAATTCATTTCCTATGCCAATTACGGATACGGCAAACTGAAGAATATTTTCAAAGAAATACAGTTTATTATGATCGCAAACTTGACCTAGAATAAACTACGATGTCAATGGATATTTACACTGGATAGTAATTTTTTCAAGTTATAAAAATACTTAAGTTTACAATGGACATTTACTACAAAACAATCTAATGCCACAGTGCCAAGTTGTTCTGTTTTTATTGGGCCTTTTACTCCTGTGATCCTATTGCTGAATTTTTATATGTTCTAATTTATTATATGTCTGAATTCACTTAATGGGATGACATATGAGGAGCATCTAGTACCATGTCTGGTCCCTGTTTTTTTTTTTTTTTTTTTTTTTTGAGGCGGAGTCTCGCTCTGTCACCCAGGCTGGAGTGCAGTGGCCGGATCTCAGCTCACTGCAAGCTCCGCCTCCCGGGTTTACGCCATTCTCCTGCCTCAGCCTCCCGAGTAGCTGGGACTACAGGCGTCCGCCACCTCGCCCGGCTAGATTTTTGTATTTTTTAGTAGAGACGGGGTTTCACCGGGTTAGCCAGGATGGTCTTGATCTCCTGACCTCGTGATCCGCCCGTCTCGGCCTCCCAAAGTGCTGGGATTACAGGCTTGAGCCACCGCGCCCGGCATGTCTGGTCACTGTTAAGCACTCGATAAATATCAGCTATACTATTATTAATTATACGTTCCCGTGTGGGTTTCTCTTTCATTCCACCCATATAATTCCTAAACAAACATACACAGATATCAGCATAGTTTCTGCTGCTAAAATAGATATTCAATCTTTAAACCCAACCTCTGTTCAATCTAATTCCGACACCAGGAAGAGTAGTATTTCAAAAGGTGTTTAAAGATAATAGCCCCATTCTAACTTTCCCCATCATTAGGCTCAAAGAAATCACTCTAGACCCTTAGGTTGGCAAATGAAAACAGAGAGAAGAAAGAAAAAAGGGAAAGAGAATACCATCAGATTTGAAACAGAAAACTTGTAACCTTCACACACAAGAGAAAGGATTGTCTCTGGCTGGTGTTTGTTCTTTTGCTGGGTGTACATTATACGTTATCACTCCGGTAGTTTCTGAGTTACTGAGGACAGGGCTGAGCTGGTACCCTGCGGCCAACTCCATCAACCAACCAGCCCCTACCACCAGATCAGACTGGAGGTCCCCCTGGGCTCCCGCACCCCCAACCGCCACAGCAGCAATACATGTTTGCTGGGCCTGCCTCCCACTATCACACCCATGAACTTAACCCAGGACCAACCTCGAATGCATAGGCTCTTGAATGCAGGGCAAAGGAGGTTGACAGTTTTAGTCCTGATGAATCATGCAACATTTGGGACCTAACTGGCCAATGCTGGACCTACCCTGCAAATGCTAGAAAATTCACCAAAACAGAGCAAGCAAAACTTCACAAGACCCACCAACTCCAACCCTGGCATCTGGAATGGGTTGCTGTTTCTACTTTATACAAAGCCACCCCCATGTGCAACCCATTTTCAGTTTGTTATTAGGTGGAAAGCATCCAATAAACTCATTCAAGCTAAAGCCCACCTGAATGGACGTAGCTTCAGTGTTACCCCTCCATGGGGGGTGCACATTTTATCCTGACTCAGTCTTAACTCTTCACCCTGTCCCCATGAAGCCTCAATTCTGCCAATGTAATAATCACAGGGATTGGGGAGAGAGAGTAGTGGGACACTGGAGAGGGATCCTTTAGAAATCCTACAGTGCGGAACAGACGAAAGAGGGGAGGCAGAGGCTTACAACCGAGGCTCTCAGACCTGGCTACTCATGGAAATCCCTGCCCCCTCCCCTGGACAGCTGGAAAATCATTCTGAAGCCTGAGCCCCACCCCAGAGGTTCTGATTGCTATAGGTGAGGCCTGGGCACTAGGATTTTTAAGTTTCCCAGGTAAGTTTAATAAGTAGCAGACTCAGGAGCATCTGGCCGTCTTGCTGAAATTTTGCATTCGGGGGGTGTGGGGTGGCAGCCTGAGACCCTGCATTCCTAAACTTCTCCTGGATGAACCCAGCGCTGGGGGTCCTCAGAACATTCTGAGCTGCAAGGACTTAGAGGCATCCCCTCTTGCCCCTCCTATGCCCCTGAGGAACCTCAGGCAAGCTGACCACACCCCTACCTCCAGCCACAGCTTTCTCCTCTGTGTTGGAAAACACCACTTTTCCAGGAGGCCCCAGAGACGTGCCCCGTTGACTTCTCAAGTGCCAACTGGGTAAGAGACATTACTCATGTCCCAAGAGACAGCTGCCCCCTTCCCCCTTTCCTGTAATCCTGTTCGAAGCAGTCCAGCTTGTACCCTGAAGTGCACCTGGATCACTGCATTCAACACAATGGTTTGTTTCTGCTCTGGTCCTTAAAGGGAATAGGGGTCTCTTGCCTGCTGGCTTTTTGCATCGGCAGGTTGACCAGGGCCACCAAGACGCAGGGCCGCCCAGGGAGCCTGACTCTGTCCGGGGCCCACGGGCCTTGGCATCTGCCCTGTGAAGCTCTTCCGTGACTTCACACACACCTCCCCACCACGTAGCACTGCCCTTACTGTCCTTGCCGCGGACGGCGGTGGGACAGGGAGTGGATGGCACTCCCTCGGAAAGAGGCCAACAGCAGCACGCCACACCCGACTCCAAACCTCTGAGGGAGGCCACAGACTGCAACTGGCTACCCACAACCTGCCCCCAAGGGTCCCTCCCTGCCTCCCGCACCCCCCGCCCCACCCCTCCCAGTTCCTTCCAGACATTCCCAGGGATGCCTGGAGCCATACACCACCTAGTGGTTCCCAGCTCAACACCAGCAACAAGACACCTCCAACCAAGAGGGAAGAGCCCTCTCCTCCAGGACACCTTAGACTGAGAAACCGAGAAACAAAAGGCCCAGCAGGTGAGGCCACAAGGAGACATTAGGCTGGAATACGTCCAGTCCCACAAACTCGCCACCTTCTCCAAAAAGTGCACCAGGAACGCAGGAGGCCATGCTGGAAAAGGCGGCCACACGCTACAGGAGAAGACCAGGGTGGAGAGGGAAAAATACGTGGAACAGGAATGGGATGTCAACACTTTATGAGCTAGAGCCCCCTCTTTGGCCAGAATAAGAATTGCATTGGGGGAATTCTTGGATATTCTGGATGGGTCCAAAATCAAAGTGGAGTGATTTCAACAAAACAGGCCAAGTAGTCAAGAAATCAAACCACTGGGTCCAATTTCTAGAAACCTACCCAAGGCCAACACATCTACTGGACTCCCAATACTTTTAGGGGGCCCAAGAAAATGTTCTAATTCTTTTTAAAACCAGAATGAATAAAATGACAGTAATACGAATGCCTAGATAACAATGAATCCAGCCTGAATTCTATTCATCCTTGTATCACTGTAATTGTAAAATACAATATTTATTTATTTATTTATTTATTTATTATTTATTTATTTATTTTTGAGATGGAGTCTCGCTCTGTCCCCTAGACTGCAGTGCAATGGCACGATCTCGGCTCACTGCAAACTCTGCTTCCCAGGTTCAAGTGAGTCTCCTGCCTCAGCCTCCCAAGCAGCTGGCACGAGCCACCACACCTGGTTAAGTTTTGTATTTTTAGTAGAAACGGGGTTTCACTATATTGACCAGGCTGGTCTCAAACTCCTGATCTCATGTGATCCACCTGACTTGGCCTCTCAGAGTGTTGGATTACAGACGTGAGCCACTGCGCCCGGCCGTAAAATACAATGGTTTTGGTTTTGTTTTTGTTTGAGAGGGAGTCTTGCTCTGTCGCCCAGGCTGGAGTGCAGCGGCGCGATCTCGGCTCACCGCAAGCTCCGCCTCCCGGGTTCATGCCATTCTCCTGTCTCAGCCTCCCGAGTAGCTGGGACTACAGGCGCCCGCCACCTCGCTCGGCTAGTTTTTTGTATTTTTTAGTAGAGATGAGGTTTCACCGTGTTAGCCAGGATGGTCTTCATCTCCTGACCTCGTGATCCGCCCGCCTCGGCCTCCCAAAGTGCTGGGATTACAGGCGTGAGCCATCACACCTGGCCCGTAAAATACAATTTTTAATGTTTTATTTTTATGGAGGAAGGGGCCTAGGAAGACAAAAGTGTCAAAGATCATGAACATCATCATGTGGTTCTGAATTTACCTACTTTTTTTTCCAGTCTCCAAACTTGTCAGCCTTTACTGAAACCCCTTGTTGAATGCTCTTTCTCGGAGACCCCCACTTGAGCCAGGGGACCCACCCCCACCTGCCTGCCATAGGTTCATCCTTTTTACTCCGGGTTCTATTGAAAGTTTTCTGACCCACTCCAGGCAAGTTCATCCCAGGCCCCGGCACCCTGGGCCTGTTTCTGGACAAGCAGAAGCTCCAACAGCTGCCACCCCCGCCTGTGTGTGAGAAGTGCAGGCTGGCAGGACGGAGCAGCAACTCTGAAGGCCAAACACATACACTCAGCCCCCTGCAGCATAAACACGGAGCATACATCACACCCAGGCCTATAAAAGATAATTATACAATCTGATCTGGCAAATGAGTGCCACAGAATGTCTAATTCTCACAATGAATTCCAGGGTTGGATCGGCAGGAAAAATTAACCTGGATCTTTATTGGGATTTGCCCCCAGGTCAGGATTAGGGTTTCTTTATCTCCTTTATTTTCCTGTTGCAGGAGGGTGGAAGGCCTTCTCTCCTGCCCGCCCCTCCCCACCGCATCCAGGCTTGGCTTTTTGATAAGCAGGCTGCTCGGTGATCTTTCCCACACACGACCTAACCCAGCTCAGCTAAAATCAAAGAAAGCACCAACTAGGAGATATGTGTGA